CCATTTCATCCCGGCACAGGACCGGGCCCCCCTGCGGCACCAGGGTCGACATGGCTTTAGCCAGGTCGTAGCCATTCCTCTGCAATGTATCCATTGCATGAAACTGTAGAGAAAGTGGGAACAATGCTGATGACCTCGAACCCTTGGCACCACTCCCTTGCTGCCCTTTACACCCCTCCTCCCTTGGAGACACCTTCTTCTGTCTGGGTCCCTGACAAAGTCCAGCCTGCCCAATGACCCGCCAACTTCTGCTCACCAGGGTGATGTCTCGGGAAGCGGCCGCTGCGCTCATGTGCAAGCTTGGCTGCCGGATGGAGCTGCTGCAGTCGAGGGCTCTTGCGAAGGTCCCCACAGCTCTAGAAAGAGATAGAGAAGCCAAGAGGGCAGGAAGAGGTCAGCTCAAGTGGGCTAGGAACTAAGGCAATGAAAAAGAAGAGAAATACCCATGCCAAAGGAAAAACAACAGTCCATCTCTTAGAATGGAATTTGGCCCTCTGTCCACACCTCCTGCAACCCATCTTCCCCATCCACCCACCCCTCACCGGGCCACCACGAGAAACTGGTCAATCTGCCGGTCTGTGAGAGGGTTATCTGGGTCCCACACCTTCATCTCCATCTTCTGTTGGTTCCGATTATCGGACTCTCCTGAGGAACAAGGTGATGGCATCATGAAGAAGGGAAGTGGGGAGGAATTGCTGCTTTAGCACTCACAGCACCTCCCTCCTCCCCCCTCCCTGCTTAGATTCCATCAGCCACCTCCACTCTCAGGCTTCCAACTGTGCCATTTGTCCCTTTCAGGTTCCCAAGGGCCCAGCTCTGTCAGGGTCACAGCACAGAGTATGCAGACTGTGTACTGCACAGCTCCAGGGCACACCATGCACAGAGTCAGCGAGGTTCAGGTGCCCCTTGGAATGAGGTGCCTGCATTCTATCCTGGTCCTTACCCTCTGCCAAGCGATCTGGGATCTCGGCTTGGTATTTGCAACCCACTCTGATCTCCCCCTGATCGGCTAGAAGTGTCTTCTGCACAGGGTCAAACACCAGTGAGTAAAAAAAGCAGTCCTGGAGAGGGGAGAGAGAAGGTAAACAGGGCCACAGTCCACAAAGGCAGGGGCCGAGGTGGAGTGTCCCGAGTTCCACGTACAAGACAGTATGTCAACTCGGTATCTCATCACAGTCCAACTTCCCATTGGCCTCTTGAGGGCTATACCCACTCCTTCCCTCTTCTCTCAAAGCAATCTTCTCTCACCTCCTTTTCCAGGTATTGGCTCAAGATATCTGTCTCATTCAAAAGAGTCACACTACATTTCCCCCTGCAGAAGAGAGGTCAGAAGACCCTGGGTGAGCTCTTCATTCCCACCGCGATTCACCGCACCCTCTTCTCCATAAGTGAGCACAGGCCATGCTCCCCTCATCGTCCCCTACCGTATGTGGGTGGCTGGTAAGGATTCAAACTGCCGAGAAAGGAAAAGCTCCCGGTGCTTCAGCTGATGTCGCTGCTGCTCGGACACCCCTGGCTGTTTTGATTCCTCCTCAAACTCCCCTAGGGATTAAGGAGGAAGAAATCAAGTCAGAAACCTATCCAAAAAGAAACCACTTTCGAAACTCCATCCCAGGGAGAACATCCTCTCTCTCAGCTCTGTTTTTCTCACGTTTCCCAGGCATCTGCCTTCCACCACCTGATGATACCAGCTTTCTCTTCTTAATGTTCTTGACTACAAAAGCTCCCAACTTTCCATCATGAACGCCCGTAAGAAAAGCTACCGTGAAAATGCCGCAGAAATACATCCCAAAACCAGATGATAAAGATGCCACGCATAAAGTACAAATACTGCCCACACCAGGCCCAATAAGAACATCACACGTCTCTTTCTTGCTAAACCAGTCTAAGGTCCAGGAACCCAACAGAAGCAACGTTGTGCTTACCGGTTCCCCTTTTCAGACTTCAAGAGATTCTCTGCTCCAAAACATCACATGTGACTACAACTATCCCTCACTTTCTACTTGGCTAATAATAGTTTGTGGAGCTTTCAAGGACATCACCTCCCAAAGCAGTGCCAAAAGTCTCCTCCCCAAGGAGCTGCAGCTTGTTCTGAGACCTTGGTGGAAAGGGTTAACTTGGCGAGGCGCCAACCCAAGGGGGAGGGGCAGAAGAGCCTCAGGCCCAGGCTCATTGGAGCATTGTTCCCAACTCGGGGGAGAGGGGGAGGGAAGCCAGCAGGCTCCGCCCCTCCCCTCTGTGCTCCGGAAACCGTGCTAAGGCTAGGGGGACCACACCCCCTGCACCCCTTCCGATTGGACAAGGCCAAGGTCAGCCCCTGCAAGATGGGGCTGGAAACCCCAAAGGGGCCAGGGCACTTGGTAAACCAAGCTCATTAACCCATTCAAGCCCAAAGCAGCCTGAAAAAAAGGAAAATAACCTAGAAAACAGGAACAAGAGGAAGGGAAAAAGAAAACCAAAACAGGAAAAGAAAAAAAAAAAACGCTAAAGAGAAATGAAGCAAATACACATGTATATTTATCTAAAGAGAAGGATGGTAGGGCAAAAAGGAAAAGGGGAACCTGTAAACTAAGAAAGGAAAGAAAAAGTGCAAGCTGACTTCCTTGCCATCCTGGACCTCTCCCCTGGCTTCCGGTAATATTCCCACCACCTTGTGATCAGAGATACCCCTGCCCGGTGCTGCAGGCCTGTAAGTACAATCTCCTCTTCACACTGCCCTTCTCAGTCCCCAAGCGGTGTCCCAACATAACCAAGGCTGTCCTGAGGGCTCAGCCTCACCCCCTAGTTAAAAATGATCATCTTTCTCACACACATACACTCACATCCCCACAAGCTGGGTTCTGGCTTTCCTTATCATGGTCCCTCAGCCCTGCTTGCAACCCCAACATGTGAAAACAGGCCTCCCTCCACAGACCAGTCATTTCCCCACCCCCAAATTCCCATCCCTGCCTTGGGCATGATACCAGGGGAAGCACGTGCAGGGACATGCTCAAGCCTCAGCTCATGGGGAACAACGGGAGGAAGGTGTGGGGTTGGGGGTTAAAGACACTCACTGGCATTACTATCAGCCAGGCTGTTGAGGCTACTAGAAATGTCCCTTCGCCGGAAAAGACAGACAACCTTTGCCTCCACATTTCCGTTTGCAGTCTGCAGGAAAAAAGTGGCAGTGAAAACCGGGCACACACAAACACATAACAAAAATAACACATAATACTAAATAGTCCTGGAAATATTTTTTTTTAAAAATGAGTAGAGACTTACATTCAAGAATAAACTTCCAAATCCCTTCCCTTTGCCCCCAAGAGAGAGAACTGTAAAGTAAGTACCTACTAAGCTCTCAATAAGGCTTTCCTGAGTACACTGAATGAATGAATATAAATGAGTACTTAAAGAGGCCTTTCTTCCCCTGAAGTTAGAGCCCTCAGAAGAAAGAGCCCATCCTGGGGGTCTGCTCACTCACCTTGTTGAGCTCCTCAATGCGTCTAACCAGGTAAGGATTGCTGGAGGAGTTCTCGAAATAGACGTAATCTGTTGGGGGAGGAGGGAGAAGGGCCGGGAAGATCAGAAGAGATGGGAGCGCCGGGCCCCAGAGTGGGAGGAGAGAGAGGCGGCCTGGAGGACCCCAAAGGGGAAAAGAGTTCAGGGAGAGAGGACGCTGAGATGCGGCAGTGAAAAGACCAATGAAATGGGGACGGCTCCCCACCCCGCCGCACCTAGTTCTAAAGTCGGAGATCCTTCACTCAAAAGTGAGACTTCGGGAGGAGACAAGCAGCGGCTTCCAAGCACCCGATGCAGTGGCACCCCAGTCTCGGCGGAGCGAGCGATCGTTCACTCCGGGGCACAGTAACGCCCAAGGACGGGGAACCTCCCTCCCCCGGGCCCCCCGCCGGCGGCGGAGCCGTCGCCCCGACCATTCGCGCCCCCTGCGTGTCCTGTCAGATCTCTCGGAGCCAATTTCCCCAGCCCCGTTCCCCGACCCGGGGATCCCCTATCGCAGCCCTCAGAGCGCCGTCGGGCTGCCCCGCACCCTCTTGGGGTCTCGGCGCTCCGCCGCGTCGCGGTCCCGGCACTCTCGCTCCCGGTTCCGGTTCCGGTCCGTGCTCCGGTCCACGCCGCCCAAACGCGACTCCCGGGCCGCCAAGTGCCGAGCCCTTCGGGTCCCAGCCCACCGCCTCTCTAGTCCCGGACCCCGCAGCCCCCGCGCCCGGTACTCACCCCCCACCCGGTACATGTTGGCCGCCATGGCCGTTCCCGCCGCCGACTCCGGCCGCACAAAGGGGTCCGGGAGGTCCGCGGGGGCAGGGCTCCGCTCGAGGCGAAGCCCCAGGCGTAGGGCTGGCGCTTCCCGGGAGTCTCGGTCGCGCCCGTGCAGCCGGCGCCTCCCCTGCCTCAGCCGTCGCGGTTCATCCCGGCCCGCGCTGTAGCTGTCGCCGCCGCTACCGCCTCACGCCCGGGACTCCGAGACCGGCGCCGGTCCGCTCGGCTTCTTCCGGAACGAGTTCGGCTCCCGACGGACCGGAGCCAAGCTCCAGCTTTCCCCCGCCCTCGCCGAGCCCCACCAGACGTTGGGCCCTGCCGGCCGCCGGGAAGGCTTGCCCAGCCTGTCTCAGGATTCGCCTCCTTCCGGAACACCTTCGGCCGATCGGGAGAACAAGGCCCGGCGCTCGACTCAGGTTGGAGAGCGAGACCCCACAGATCGGCCACTTCCGGAAAAGGTTCGGCTCCTTTCGGCCAACCGTGTCCTGGCGCTCGGCGGTTTCCGTTGCACCTCGGCCCCTCCTCCGAAGGCGGGAGAGGAGTTGCGCTTAACTCTTTCTTCGCCGGAGTCCTACGGCCCGGAACAGCTTGCGCGGCTACGCTCTTCGCGAGGTTATTTGCAAGCAGCTCTACCTTTTATTTGCATAAATGGTCTACGCTCCCTTACCCTTTCCGTACGACTCTCCACCCCCACAGGGCCCCGGAGGCGCCCCAGCCATGCTCCATAAAAGGACCGGGAAGCCACTTTGGTTTTGGTTTATTGCCCCTCAGCAGTCAGCGGGAGTAGGGGCCCAAGCCGGGGCTGCCCGGCTCGGCCAGCGGATCTGTACAGTGTGTGCGGAGTTCGTTCGCCCCTTCCGGGGAAATGCACGCTTGGGAATGTCTCGAAGTCGCGGGAAGGCTCGGCCCCAGGTCCTGGGGGCTGCAGGTGGGGTGGGGAAACGCGCAGAGGCCGGTCGCCTCTGTCTCGCAGCGGTCAGACGTCGAGGGAGGAGGCGGGGGACAGGGACGGGGTTCGCGAAGGCGTGGCAGGCGCCAACCCCGCGCCTCCGGCGCCCAGCACGCGCCACTGGAAGATGCTGGCGTCCTTGCCGCCCAGCGAGATGAGGTGCGAGTCGTCGTGCGTGAACCGGACGCTGGTCACGTGGCTGCCATGGCCCGCGTAGATGCGGCTCGGCGCCTGGCAGGAGGGGGCCGAGTTGCAGCGGCCGCGGGAGCGACCCCCGCCCGCCCGTCCGCCAGGCCCCGGGCCGGCTGCCTCACCTTGGCGCGCGCGCACGGGTACTGGAAGAGGTGCACTTTGCAGAAGTCGTCGGCCACGGCCACCACGCGCTCGTTGTGGGAGCGGCACAAGGAGTTGATGTCGGTCCCGTCGGAGCCGTCAGGCCACACGCCTAGCACAGCGGCCGGCCTCAGCCCGGCCACCCCGCCCCTCAGTCCCGCTGCCACCCACGGCCCAGCGCCGGACTATTTCCGGCGCTCACGCCACCCACCGGCCGCGTTCCAGGCAATCCTTCCTGAGTCCCAGGGCCCAAGGAGGCCTCTCAGGATCTGCAGGTTACCTGACGCCCACCCCTGGACAGACACGCAGTATTCCGAGCCCAGGGCGGGCTCGACCACCCAGCCCACAGGGTTCTGAGCCCCTGCGCTCCCGCTCACCGTAGACGTGGAAGCCCAGCACACAGGTATAGGTGGCCCATTCCCGGTCTCGGCTTTCATAGCGATTCCGTAAAAGCTTGCAGCCTGCAGCTACATCCCCTGGAGAGAGGGAGCCCTACCCAGCTCAGTCACCTTGCCCTCAGCCCAGATGCCGGAAAGGCCAGGTTGAGCGGAGTGGCTGGAGGCCACCCAGCCAGAAGCAACCCTCCCCAGCCCCCTGCTTCTGAGTTCTAACAGCTTCTCCTCCCGGAATAAATCAATCCCTCCACACCTGCCCTGAGAAACTCTTCCCAAACAATCTTTTCTTAGTGCATTCTCCAACTCCCTCAAGCCCTTCTGGGAATGAGACCATAATGTAAAATGATGTTTGTCCAAATTGCAAGAAATTTCTCCTGTGTAGTTACTCTGTCCTCAATTCAACCTCCTCCCCACCTCCCTATCTGACAGCCCCTCTCCCTGGAGTACCCACCCATTCTCTTTCATCTCCCCTTAACTAGGAATAACCCCAGAAGTAACAGCACCCCAGTTACCCTCTCCCCACGCCCTCCCCTGCGGCTCTTACAGTAAAGAATCTCATAGTCTCCAGAATTGGACATAATGAAGTTCCCATCCTTGGACCAGTCGAGATGAGTGATAAAGCTGGAATGACCCTGCAGGCAAGGGTCAAGAGATTAAGAATGTAGCCACCATTCCCCAGTCCCCAGAGCCTCCTTAGGTATCAGACTGCTACAAGTTTACCTGCTGTGGCAATGCCCACCCTCTAACCCAGCCTGCTCACCACACAGCGGCCAAAGCGGCTGGACTTGGCACCATCACTGGAAATGCTATAGATGTAAATCATGTTGTCATGGGAACCGATGGCCAGGTACATCCCATCTGCAAAGACAGTCACTCAGAGAGGGAAGGGCCAGGGAGGGGCCTGGGGCCAGGCTGGAGATGGCTCTCACCTGGGCTGTACCGAACCACTGAGAGCTGCTCGTTGCCATCAGTGATGTCAGACATGATCTCTCTGGTCTCTGTGTCCAAAACTAGCCACCTGGAAGGGAGGAAGGGAAAGGCAGGGTGTGAAGAGACACCCAGGGAGATGCCTTGGGAAGGGTGGGGGTTGCCAAATCAAAGACCCTCAGAGAAGCCCACAGAAAGGCTGGGATGCAGATGTTGTTGTTGTTGTTATTTGCCATCGAGTTGGCCCCGACTCCTAGAGACCCCTCCTTGGGTTTCCAAGGCAGTTATCACTACGGAAGTAGGATTGCCCAACCTTGCAGATAGAGGCCACCAATGCATTCTTGTGCTCGGAGGTGGGAAAGGGTTAAGAGTCTAATCAGAATGGCATGAGGAACTATAGACCAGGAAGGAGCCCACTATAAGGTCTGTCTGCCTCCAGTTACTCAAGCTTGTCTAGCCTGGGCTCCAACCTCCTCCACTCCCGGCTTGGAGAACAACTACCCCAGAGAGCAGGGGAGGCTCAGGCTACAGGAAGGACTGAACAGTGGGGAGGCACAGCTGGGACTCCGGGGCAAGTGGGGTCATTCTGCTCACAACCCCTTTCCAGAAAGCCTCCCCATACCTCCCTGCTTCCCAAACCAGGAGTCCTGGCTCCCTCTCACCTCCCTGTGTTCAGTCCTACAGCCACAACTGCTCCACTGGGGTGGAAGTCGGCACAAAGACCAGTCTCCTAGGAGGGAGAGAAGGCAAATTCAAGAAGATGCCTTTCGTATGAGGGAACCAGGACGGACATCTTGTCGAGGGCTCCTCTGACAAGGAAGAGATGTGCAAGGAGAAGGACAACACACCTGGGATGGGACAGGGATGTCACTGGCGCCTCAACAAGGAATGACACTCAAAATACTTCACTGAGGCCTGCTGGCTGTGCCAGAGACCAACATCTTAGTTGCTGGATCAAGGAGAAGTCTGACGGGTCCATAGCACAAGAGGCCGGAGCCCTGGAGGCAGCAGCTTGTAGCAACCAGTACAGGAGAATGAATACCTTAACAGGTGAGCTATGCCAGCCAAGCTGCTGCCTCCAGGAGCAGAGGAAAGGGGGTCTTGGGGAACTAGTGGTGGCAGGGGAATGAACAGAAAAGGGACAAAGGGCTCTACCTTGAGGTCGATGCTCCAGGCCAGTGCGTGGCCCTCCCCGTCCCATAAGCAGAGCTGCCGGTCGTGGCCGCAGGTGAGGAAGCGGTTCTGGGAGGGATGTGTGCAGAGCCCCCAGAGCTCATCCGTGTGTCCCTGCAGCGAGGAACGAGGCTCTCACCTTGCCCCTCCTCACCAGCTCTTCCCTCCCTCCTCCCCCGAGCCCTAGGCCCCCCAACCTGGATGACAGGAGAGAAGCCCTGGGCCAGATCTCCCCTCAGCAATGCATTCTTCGTGGTCCCCACCAGCAGCTCAGAGCCAGGCCCCTCGGCAATGGCCCGTACAGCCCCAAAGTGTTCAGGAATCTGCCGAGGGGATGGCAAGAGAGTCGGGGCCCAGCAGGCTCTCCCTCTTGCCCTCTCCACCTGAGCCCCAGACCAGCCTTTACCTCAGCCTCCTGGAGGGCCACCAGTCCGGGACCCCACTGTACCAGCCGGCGATCTCGCCCACCACCACTCAACACCGTCCCATCCCGCAGGAGACACAAGGCGAAGATGGACCCCTCGTGAGCATGGGCCTGGGCCACAATCCCATAGGTCTCTGTTGGCAAAACCCCAGGGGAGTCATGCTCTTGGGGTGCAGGGGAGTGGGGAACAGGAACAGCCTAGGCCATCTCAATAGAAGGCAGTAACTCACAGCTGTGGGGTGCCTGCTGCCCACTATCTCTGGCTCTAGTGGCTGCCAATACAGCTACCACTCTCCCCATTTTACAGACAAGCAACTGAAGCTCAAAGAAGTGGAGTGACTCTGGAAGGCCAGACACCTAGTAGCAGAACTGGGATTTGAATCCAGGAGCTGGCAAACTGAAGTGCCAGCCCTTTCCCTTTCTCATTCCACCCCCCCACCCTTAGAGCAGCCCACAAAAGAGTTTTCTCATAAGGTCCCAAACAGAACTATCAAGTCTAAAGGTCAAAGATGGGAAACCTTCCCCTCTGTTCCCATAGGTCTTCGGCAGTATGGACTTCCGAGACAACACCCCCCCAACACATACCTTTGGCCCCACCCCTGCCTGGGGTCTTGGAATCTGAGAGGCTCCGCCCCCAGGTAAGAATGTTGCCCTCTGAGTCCCCAGTAAGAATGTCTCCATCAGAGAGGAACACAAAGCAAGGGATGAACTTGGGTTTCTTGTATTTCTGGAAGGGGGAGCAGAGAGCAGAGGTCAGAGGGACGGGCAAAGATTAAAAGTCAAGGAACAGGTGCGGGTAGGATAGTACTAGGGTCTAGAGTACTCAGTTCAACACTTCTGTCTCCACTCTGGCCCACCACCCCCCACCTCTCCTCCACCCACGCCTCACCCCAAAGACACCCTGTTTCCTGGTGAGGGTCCCGTTCCCAGGAACCCCTGAGCCACCACTCCAGTTCCAGAAGTGGACGTGAGATTTCCCACTGGTGACGATGCAGCTGCTGTCACGAGGGCTGAAGCCAACCGCCAGCACTGAGTCATTTGTACTCTGAAGGGAAGACACTAGATTCAGCCACCCTGAGCCCTGAGCACCCTTACCCCACGTGACTCCTGCAATCTGCGCCCCGACACTGAGCCCGCGGATGTCCCCAGGACAAGCATTTCAAGCCCCAGTCCTCTCCTAGCACCACTCGCGTCTGCTCATTATCAGTCATCCTCGTGTCTCACACACTAGCCCTGAAGAGATCACAACTTCTACAGTCCCACTGCACAGATGAAGAAACCAAGGCTCAGAGAGGCCGGGAGGTCTGCCCAAGGTGACCCAGCCAGAAAGGAAGTGGATGTATCAGTGAAGTCTGGAGCCCTGTGCTACACTGTTGCCACCTCCCCGCCCAGGCTCAGTGCCCCTCCTGCTAGCAGGGCTCCTCACCTTGATCTCAGCCAGCTTCGTGCCCCGGCTGCAGTCCCACACAGACAGCATGTGCTCGTTGGAATCATCCACCACACACAGAAAGGCACCCTGATCCTGAGGATGGGGGACAGGAGGCGGGGCTGCCATGAGGCCTGGAGGTTCATCACAGGTCCGGCGGGGGGGGGGAGCGCAGAGGAAGTGGACACATGTCCCTTTCTCAGGAGAGCCAGCTGGAGGGGGCTCGGGAAGGCCAGAACTTCCCAGGCTTCATGGTGACACACAAGAGCGGGTTCTTGGGCAAGGAAGATGGGGGTCTAGAGGCTTTGGGACCAGCTCACCACAACTGAAAAGGCCAGGGCGCCCACACCCCGCTCAAAGGCCCCCAGTCCAATCTCCTGCAGCTTTAGCAGTGTCTCTGAGTCCCAGACGTGGACCACGGGCTGCAGAGGCTGGTGGAGAAGAAGGTCAAGGGTGTGAAGGAAAGATGTGAGGAGAGCAGCGGCTGGGCTGGAGCGTCATCCGGGCCACTTGGGACTTAGCTGTGGCCTTACCTTTCCATCCTTGTCCACTCCTGCTGTCTGTCCTGAGGCTACGCGAACACCATCAGGGTGAACAGCAAGGCTGTGGGGGAGGACACGGTAGGGAAGGAGGCCTCTCACGGCCACCCAAGACACCTTCCCCGTGTCTGTGGAGCCAAAAGGCAACTCCTCTCTCCTGCTCCTCTGCCTGCTCCCAGACCCTCTTCCAGTCACGCCTACCATCCCCCTCTTGCTTGCCCACTCCTAGGCCCCAGGCCCCTCACCATCGAACGCAGTCGGAATGCCCCCGGTAGTGTCTCTGGCCACCTCCTCCAGGGCCCCCTGGGCCTCCCCCGGGCCGGTAAAGCACCACCACACAGGCAATAAAGTAGACCACCTCCCCAGAGCGCAGCACAAACAGATTGGAGCGAGAGTCACGACCCCTGTACCCATAACTGGGGTAGGGATCAAGGTCAAGGAAAGGGTCACATCAAGGGCAAGGTGAGGTAGAGGGGAGGAGACGGCACGGTTGGCAGACAGATGGTAGGGGAGTATGTGGGGGGCTCCCTGTCCCCGTGGACCCAGGAGGAACTGTAAAGAAGGGAGGTAGGACAAGGTGGGAAAACATGGCCCCCAAGGAAGGGCCCAGACGATGCAGGATACACCCAGTCAAGGCTGAGGGTCTCTGGGGGTGGGCCGATGGGCAGCTCCTCAAGGCTGCGGATGCCAGACGGAATGTACATGGTAATAGGGCGGCCGCGAAGGAACATCTTCACTGAGATGCCTTCTGCAGAGAAAGGGGGGGGGTGTCTCAACTGCCACCCTGCTGCCCCGCTTCCAGAAAAGGCAGGACACAGCACCACCCACCATAACACCAAAATTAATAAATAAGTAAACCACCCTTTGCCATCACGACCGTTCTGTCATGGTGACCCCACGCGTCACAGAGTAAAACTGCTCCATGGGGTTTTCTTGGTTGTAATGTTCACAGAAGCAGGTCACCAAGGTTTTCTTCCGTGGTGCCGCTGGGCATGTGCCAACCGCCAACCTTTAGATTGGTAGTTGAGTACAAACCATTCGGGCCACCCAGGGGGCCTCCCATACCCCACAGGACCCCCAAAATAGCTCGAACCCTAGCTGCAACCCAACCCCAAGCTCCCTTATCCAAGCACCTGTTTACATACCCAAATTATAATTGCTTCTCCTAGATCCAGGGCCCCCAGGGCTAGAGAGGGGATCTTTCCCCCAACGGCTGTTAGGAGAGAAGAACACAGGCCTTGAGGTCAGATCCAAAGCCCCCAGGGGAGAGGGGCAGGGCACAGGACGGGGTTACTCCAGACCAAAAGTACCCCTGCAGGCTTTTAGTCTGCCATGTGTACGTTCAGGGCCCTAGAGGTGGTGGGGCCTTTTAGTCTCGTTTAAGAGGTAAGTGAAGGTGAAAGAACTAAGTGCAATGGAGCTTGCAAGAAGCAGTGCAAGTACCGGGAGGCCTTCTGACTCTCAGTTCAGGGCCTTTCCCTCCAGACCTCAGGGCCTCTGGCGTATCAACCACCTCCCTCTCCCTTCCCATCTGTAAAATGGAACCAAGGTTAATCCAGAAGGCTCAGCAGCCCTGCCTATCAGGGATCTGGGAGATAAGCCAGGAAGTCCCTCTCAGCAGAAAAGTGACAGGTGAACTCCAGACCATGATCCCTGGGGGTGTTGATCTCTCTTCAGAAAACAAGCAGAGGCCGCAGACAGGGCTAGAATAAAAATGCAAGCGTCCTGGGGCCTGGACCCACTCTGACACAGCGACACTCAACCACTAGGATTTCTCCAAGTGAAATCTGATAGATCTGGGAGGCTGAAGTTCTGAGGACAGACATCCACAAAAAGATGGGCACTTTTGAAAAAGCCTCTTGGAATCTCGGAAGGTGTGGTGGGATATGACAGAAAGGACACAGGAACCCAAGTCAGGAAGAGCTGGGTTCAGATCTTGGCTCTAGCTGAGTGACCCCAAGTAAAGGACTTACCCTCTCTGAGCCTGCTTCCTCACCACCTACCCCCCAAGGATGTCATGGGGACTGAGTGAGATGGAGGAGGTCGAGTGTTTGGCGCAGGCGCCCCGTAAGTGCTTGCTCCTTTCTTCCTGTTGGGCAGTGAGGTCCCGCACCCTGCCCAGGGAAGGCAGGTGAAGGCTTGGAAAGTCAGAGTCCGAGCACTGGGCAGGGCAGGTCGTGGGGGGGGAGCCTCACCCACCTCTCCATGCTCCCTGACCGCAATAACAGGTTGGCTGAGGAAGCTGCCTTCCGGGACAGCTTCTGCCGGGGCCGCTCTGAGGGAGACGAGGAGGAGGAAGAATTTCTCCGTGGCCTGGTGGGGGCACAGAAAGGAGGTGAGGGTCACTCCTCCAATCCTGTGCCCTGATCCTCGCCCCTCTTCCAGCCTCGGCCACAGGACACCTACGTGTCAGCGCGCTGTGGGGGCTGCAGAGGCTTGAGGACCCCTGGGGGACCAGGGGAGCCAGTACCGCTGCTGCTGCTGCCCCCGCCTTCAAACTGGGTGCCGCCAGGCTCTTCGCTGCCTTCTTGCGGAGCCCGGGGCCCATTACTCAGGCCAGGGGGTCCGGTGACTTGTGGCTCCGTGTCCAGCTCTGTCTGGGTGCCTCGACTCACCAAGGAGGGGCTGCATGTGGGTGGCAGTCCTGGCGGGGTTACAAGGCTGCCGGGGAAAGAGCCCATCAACCTGATGCCCCCAGAAGCCCCAGGAAGGAGGAGGCAGGGGGTGGGATGACATGCATACCTGTCCCTCATGGGAGCTGGCAGGACAGTGCCCTGCAGGGGGGTGGGGGGCGTCTGGAGCCGCAGCAAGCGGAGGGCTTCTGCTAGGGCCGCCTTCACCAGCTCCATCTCCTCCTCCTGCACCCGAAGCCGGCGGCTCAAGGACTGCAGGGCCTGCTGAGCAGGGCTCTCACCTGGGAAAGGGGCAGGAAGCATTCAGAACGCACCTGCAGGAAGGGTTGAAGGGAGTCTGTGGGCCCTATGGGACATGCATGCCCTATAGAACCGCCTGCTTCAAGCAGTCCCAGGCTTGGAGGCTTGCCCAGAGGGGAGGAGGCGAGTGGTAGCTGATCAAGGGCCTCCTTCTGGCAGGGCAGGCGAGGAACCTGGCAGAGCTCCTTTCCTGCTGCCGTCTGAGCCTCCTGGAAGACAGGGCATAGCGTGGAGTGCCAGGGGGAAAAATATGGAGGACTGCCGAGGGACGGACGCAGGAGCCACAGAGACAGAGGAGTGGCGAGGGGCGGCAGGACGACAGGACCCCGCGGAGCAAGCTCAGGTCTCCAGGTTTCAGCTCACACTGCGGGACCCCAGTAGCAGAGATGAGACCCAGAGTGACAGGACAGGGTATCAGTAGAAAGCAGGGTCATAGTGAAGGTCCCAGGGTGACAGTGGGGGTCGGGATAAGTGGCCCGAAACACCTAAAGAAACGCAGAGTAGCGTGGAGGGCAGGGAAAGACTGAAGAAGCGCAGTAACGTGGGGGTTGAGTAACGTTGGGGAAGGCTGAAATGACAGCAGGAGAACTCAAGTAACTAGGAAGACGGACAGAGGAACGCTGCAAGATGCTCCCGAGCCCATGGCGCGAAGGCGCACGCGGGACGCCATCGGGCAGCCGTCGCGCACTGGCAGCACCCGACGGGCCGGGCGCTCTGGGAAGGGCACGCCGCCCGCCCCGCCCCGTACTCACCGGACCCCGCGGCCCCGTCCATCCGGCCCCCGGGCTGTTCCCAGCGGCGGCGGCGGAGGAGACGTCTAAGCCGCGGGGGCCGTGGCCGGGGAGAGGGGAAGGGGAAGCACCCCGGGGCGCGCGCGCAGGGCCACCGTGCCACCTCCGGGGGCGCTGTCGGGCGCGGGGCAAGCGCCTGGAGGGGGCGCTGTGGGACGGGGCCTCAGTCGCAGGGCCCGCCGGGGCCTCGGGTTCTCCCGGGGCGCGTTCGGCCCCCGGGGATGGGTGGCGGGGCCGTCCCGGGCCCCAGAGCTGCAGCACAAACAGGCGCCGGACGCCGAGCCGCCAGGAAGCGCGGGAGGGGGGCGGGCCGGGGGGGCGGGCCGCCTGGTAACCCCTCCCTGTCCGGGCCCAGTCCCGGGCGGGGCCACCCGCTGACCCCCTCACCCCGCCCGGCCTCCGCCCTCCGGGCCCTTCCGGGATCCCCGCCCCCAGGCTCCCAGGGGAGTCTCCGCCCCGGACCCCGCGCCCCTCGGGTTGAGCCGATCAGCCCTCCCACTTCCGCGAGGGGGCAGGGGCGGGGTCACGAAAGGGGCCTTCGGGCCGGGGGGCGGGGCTTCTCCTCAGGGGCCAGGCCAAGGCATCCCGAATTGGGGCTGGCAGGGCATTGGGGCGGGAGTTATTAAGGCTGTGGGTAGAAGATGCCCAGGGTATTGGGGTCAGCGTGGCATTAGCCCAGCTCAAGCCGGGCGCCGCTGACTCAGCATCCTGGCCCGGCCAACCCCAGCCGCGACAGTCCGGCACTCCCTCGAGCAGAGATGGGAGATGGCACCGGTGCTGCCCTTGGTGCTGCCCCTCCAGCTCCGCATCCGCCTGGCGCAGGGGATCTGGCTCCTCTCCTGGCTGCTGGCACTGGCCGGTGGCCTCACCATCCTCTGTAGCGGGCACCTTCTGGGCCAGCTGTGGCCCCTTGGAACCTTCCTGGCTCCTTCCTGCCCCTTCCCTGCCCTGGCCCGGGTTGCCCTGCCAGCGGGGGCAGTGGCCCTGGGCACAGGACTGGTGGGTGCAGGAGCCAGCCGGGCGAGCCTGGATGCAGCTCGGTACCCTCCCTGGCGAGGGGTCCTAGGCCCACTGCTGGTGGCCGGCACTGCTGGGGGCGGGGGCCTCTTGCTCCTTGCCCTGGGGCTAGCCCTGGGTTTGCCTGGGAGTCTGAGCACAGGACTGGAGGAAGGCCTGGGGACTGCCTTGGCTCACTACAAGGACACAGAGGTGCCCGGGCATTGCCATACCAAGCGGCTGATAGATGAGCTGCAGCTGAGACACCACTGCTGCGGGCGCCATGGCTACAAGGATTGGTTTGGGGTCCAGTGGGTCAGCAGCCGCTACCTAGACCCCAATGACCAGGATGTGACGGAGTGAGTGATTGGCTTCTCTCCCTTCTCCTCCCCAGACAGTCTGTCTCCTGCTGCCTTGCACCCGTCCTCACCCAAATGGGCAAGAAATGGAGCCTAGTGGTTGAGTCTGGATGACAGATCTGCCATTTATTAGCTGTGTGACTCAGGGCATGTTACCTAACTGCTCTGAGCCCACTTCACCATCCGTAAGATGGAGTTACTACTAGTACCGACCAGATAGGGTCGCTGTAAAGGTGGATGGTGAATGCCTGGCACCTACTGAAGCCCTGAGTAGATATTTCTACTGTCAGTTGGCCCTTCCCAGCTCCTGTACCCTGCAGCTTCTCCCCTGGTTCTCTGTCCGGAGTCGTCCTAACACCCTGCCCTCCCTTCGCAGCCGTATCCAGAGCAACGTGGAAGGTCTATACCTGACTGACGGCGTCCCCTTCTCCTGCTGCAACCCCCACTCACCCCGGCCTTGCCTGCAAAGCCAGCTCTTAGACCCCCACGCCCACCTCATCTTCGATCCCCGGCAGCCCAACTTAAACCTCTGGGCCCAAGGGTGCCACGGGGTGCTGCTAGGGTACCTGCAGGGGTTGGCGAGCACTTTAGGCAGCATACTGGCTGTCACCTTCCTGCTACAGGTGAGTCGGCTAAGTGTCCGAGGCCTCCCTGTGCCTGGGACCCCTCGCTGCCTCTACCCCAGGCCCCCTGAGATTGCTGCCCCTCCCTGACCTCTGCCCCATTGCATTCCCCGCAGGTTCTGGTGCTCCTGGGCCTGCGGTACCTACAGACGGCGCTAGAGGGGCTCGGCGGGGTCATCGACGGGGAAGGAGACACCCAGGGATATCTCCTTCCTGGGGGGCTGAAAGACATGCTGAAAACAGCCTGGCTGCACGGAGGGGTTGCCCACAAGCCAGCCCCTGAGGAGGCTGCCCCGGAAAAGGCACCTCCTGAGGAGGTTCTGCCTGAGGCCTAAGGGTCTGGTGCTTGGAGTGAGATGGGGGCAAGTCTGGAAGCTTCACAACCCCTCACCAAGGCTCCCAGTGGGGGCCCTGGGATCAGAGGGGGCGGGTAGTCAGCCAGCTGGGCCAGAGTGAGGGAGAAGGCCAGGTGTGGTAGACTTAGCCCCGCGGCAGGAAAAACAGGGCAAGGGGAAGTGAGATAGGACAGACGGACGGTAGACTGCTTGTGGGACACAGACTCAATAAAGCTTTGGGACTCAAGTCACTGTCCTTCTCTTCAAGGGGGTGGGGCCCTGAGAGAACTGACTTCTGTCTGGTGGAGCAGGCAGGACTCCAAGGTTTTGACCCTGGCTCTGCCTAGGTGGCGGCAGGTGCCACATAAATGTGAGAGAAGGTGGGAAAAACGGGACCTGCTAAGTGAGAGAGAGAGAGAGGCCCTTCCCGACTGAGATTCTTTATTCTGGAGGTAGGAGGGGGCCAGCATGCTGAGGTGGGAGGGTCCAGCCCAGCTCCTCCAGGTTACCCAGTTACTCGGCTGCCCTCCCTCCTGAGTAGTCCATCTGTCCTTCTGCTCCGCCCCACAGAGCTGACCTGGCTCAATACAAGGGCCGCTTGTCCCCAGCCTGTGGGCAGCACCACGTGGCAGGCAGAGGGGGAAGGGAGAAGCAGCTGGGCCGCGCCCTGGGGCTGGAGGGGCAGAAGGGCCACGCCAGCCAGCTCCGGCTCTGAGGGGTCAGGACTTGCAAAGCCACATCCTGGGCAGGCCGAGCGCCCGATCCCACGAGGTCCGTGCCTGCGATGAGGTGGTAGTCGGGGTGCGCTGGCCGACGTCACACCTCGATGGCTGGGTCTGAGCCCCGGCTCTGGCGCTGCAGCTGCTCCTCCTGCTTCATCTTGGGCTTCTCCGTCCGCGTGTGCCACACCAGCACCTGTGCCGGGAGGGTTTCTGTTAGAGTCAGGCCCCACTGGAGCCAGGCTTCTGGGGCTGTCAGCGTGGACTGGTTCTCCATGCCTCCAACACAGGGTCGGCTACAAGGAGTGAAGAGTAGGGTGGGAAGGCTCTGGTGTTCCTCAAATGGGTCCCTCCCCTTCCCCTCTCTCTGCCGCATGGCTTCCTAGGCTCTGGGCGACAGAGTGGCCGGAGAACCCTTTCTTCCCCTGGCTCCCAGCTTCCCCTTCAAGCAAGCAAGGTCAAATCCGAGCTCTCCGAGATCCCTCCCGGTCAGTCGCTCATCCCCTGACCCTCCCCATGCAGGCTCTCACTCCCCTTCTCCATCGCCAGCCCCTCCCAGCGCCGGCTTCCTGAGCCTGCCTCTGTCCCCTCACCCGAGTGCAGTTGGCAGCCCGTGGCTCCAGGTCCTTGGGATCCACAAGGTGGCTCAGGAGACTACTCTCCAGGTGGCCCCGGGGAGCAGTACCATCAAACTGGGCATTGGGCTTAGCCAACAGCAAGGGGAGGGCGACAGCGAATCCCGCCATATCCATGGGGAAGGGCCTGTTGGGCTCCCACGCCGTGTGGAAGCCCACAACCCGGCCATCCTGTACCCGTGGGCCCTCAAATCGCAGGCCACCCACCAGCCCCACGGGCCACACTGAGACACCATGGGTCCAGCGCATCTGAAAGAGGTCAGGAGAGAAGAAACAGAGACAAGGAGGTGGCCCAGTGGAAAGGGAGCAGCAGGAAGGACTACTGGGTCACTCCCGCACTGCTCCCTCCCTCCTCCTCTCCCAGCAGCCACCAGCAACACTGGAAACCAAGGCAACACATGAAGCAGCCCCCACTTGGCCTTCTTCGCCATCCCCAGGCCAGTGCTCACCTCCTCGAAGAGCTCCCGGCTGTAGGTATTGTCATCGTCAGCAAAGTACACGACTCCTCGGGTCCCTGGTGGGGGCGGGTTCTTCTCCCCACCTACAGCACCTCCGCCACCCCGCAGCCAGTCCAGGGCCTTGTTCCGCTGCTCTACACCACGGGGCCGAACCCAGCCTGGCTCACCCTCCCGAAGCCGCTGGGCCTTGGGGGTGAGGACTGTCAGGTGTGTGAAGAGGAGGCCGGAGGCAGCCAGCAGCCCTGAGACCAGCGGGGTGGGGCCCTCAGCGTCCTCCACCAGCAGCCAATGCAGCCGGGGTACCAGGCTCAGTGTCTGGGACAGGCGTACCAGCTCCGCCTTCTGCACCAGCCTGCAGGGGGCGAGACGCGCCAAGACGGGAAAAGGGGGGGAACCATTTGCCCATCCAGCTGGGACATGTGGCTGCTCCTGGCCAGCACGTGTCACATGGCTAGCATCCCCCATGACCTATCCCCAGACAGTACCCAAACAGCCTTGTGACACTCACCTGCCGTGTCCTGCCAGTCCATGTCTGTCACCCACCTCAACCCCAGGACTTTGACTGTGGGAGACTCTAAGTTAAAGGCACAGGCTTTGGAATCAGATCTGGGTTTGAAACCCAGCTTTGTAACTTACTAGATAAGATGCCTTGAGAAAATGGCTCAATCTTCCTGAGCCTCCGTTTCCTAGGCTGTAAAGGGGAAAGAAGGAGGCCTGGTGGCATACCACTTAACTACTCGGCTATTAACAGAAAGGTTGGCAGTGTGAACCCGCCCACAGGCTTTGCAGCAGTAAGACGTGGCAGTCTGCTTCTGCGAAGATTATACCCTAAGAAACCCTATGGACAGTTCTGCTCTGCTACATGGGGTCAGCATGAGTCAAAAGTGACCCCATAGCACTGAATAACCATATAACGGTATTGCTTGAAAGATGAAATAATGACTTTCTAAAACACCAGTGGGACCAGCTCCTTTTCCTCTGGTGCATGGGTTTCCAGGTGCCAGGTGGAGCCCTGCGGCTCACTCCTCTCCGGGGGAGGGTGAACAGTTACCTGAGTTTAGAGAAGGAACTGGGAATGTGTGGTTCGGCCTGCTGGGCTCCTTTAGCCTTCAGCTCTGCCTGCCTGTCAGGAGGGGGGGACAACCATGCTGGTCTGGAACTACCTGTGCCTGGGGAGGTCAGCCATCTGATTCCAGGGAGGTGCCTTTGAGAACCCTTTGGGCTACAGATCTAAAACCACATCCCCCAATTGGTTGTATCAGTAATAAAGGGATATTTTTATTTATTTACTTTTTTAACATAAAGCACTTAGCACAGTGCTGGTAGCATAGTGGCTAAGACACTTGCCTGCTAACCAGACAGCTGGTGGTTCAAACCCACCAGCCACTCCTCGGAAGCAAGGTTGGGCAATCCTACTTCCGTAGTGATACTGCCTCGGAAACCCAAGGAGGGGTCGCTATGAGTCGGGTTTGACTCGACGGCAAACAACAACAACAACAACACAGTGCCTGGTAGAGTGTAAATGATATTATAAATAGCTGGTGTAGCTATTTCTAGACCCTGGTATGACTATTAAGGTCAGACTCCTTTCTACTTCAATTTAATCAGTTCTCAAACATCCTAGCCTAAAGCTCCCTAAGAAGAAAGCATAAACTCACTGATAAGCTCAACAATTCTTTGAAACCTTACTGTTCCATCTTTATACTTAGCAGGAATTTTATGTTCCATTTCATAGAACACCCATGTCTATGTTAATAGAAAAACCACCCTTTTCCCCCATCAATCTCCAGATAAAAATGTGCTTCATGTATCCTGACATGTGGCATGCCCTAGTTTGAGGAGCAGCCTCTGGCCCAGTGGCTCTCCAAATTGCTCTTCATCAATCCCAAACCCTTGGTCGATGCAGCCCTCCTGGGGGCACCAGAGCCATACCTTGCGTACGTGGGGGTGACAACATAGATGGTCGGCAGGGCCTCGGGTTCAGGGGGCTGGGCAGGGGCAGGAGGTGGGCGTCGAAGATCGGCTTGCAGCCGGGAAATCTTCAGATCCTTCTGCCGAAGCTGCTCTGCAGCGGCCCGCAGGGGAGGGAGGCAGTCACATGGCTGACCTGGTCCCAGGAAGCAGTGATGGAAGAAAGGGATGGTGACAGAGAACCACAGCACGTTCCGTTCAGCATCGTAAAGGGCCTAACCTTCTCATTTAACTCCTAGTCAAAAAATTCCCCAACAACTCTAATAGCCTTTCCTAGATCCCCGGTGGTGGGAAACCCGCCTCAATCTCCAGTCCCTGGGTGGTGCAAAGGGTCAAGGAGTTCAACTGCTAAGTGAAAGGTTGCAGGTTCGAGTCCACCCAGAGGTACTGTGGAGGAAAGGCCTGGCAATTTACTTCCAAAATATCAGCCACTGAAAACACACGGTTCTACTTGGCACACATTGGGGTCTCATGAGTCGGAATCAATTGGACAGCAACTGGGTTTTGGGTTTGGTCTCCATCCTTAATAAATTCCACCTGTTAACAATTTTCACTTGCATCTTGACCTTATTATCTGCCTCCATTCTTCCTACCTGCCGGTCCTAATTCTACCTTCTGGAGCCATAAAGGACGAGCCAATCTCCTTAAACTAGGTAGTCTTTCAAATATCTGATTGGCGCTGTCCCTAAATCCCTGCATAAGAGGCAGTGAGAGTTCAATCAGTCCCTTTAGCTGCGAGACCAAAGGTTTGTCTTTTGTTCCATCATTATGTAACTATTTACTGCATGATCCCACAAGTGAGGAACTGCCTTAGGTGCTGGGGATATAGCAGGGCAAAAGAGGCTTGGTCCCTGGCCTCACCGAGGTTTCAGTTTAGCGAAGGAAGCAGATAAATTAACCAAATCATCAGGGATGGTGGTTTAAGAATCGTGAAGGAAACAGACAGGATAGAGATAACAGAGATCCGGAAAGAGGAAGGGTTACTTTAGCTACGGTGACAGAAGGCCTCTGAGGAGGTGACATTTAAGCTGAGACCTTAAGGATGAGGCGGCAGCCGGCACGAGCGGGGAGAAAAGCATTGCAGGCAAGGATAACAGTTCAGAGCTTGAGAGGAGCAATGAGCATGGAGGTTTCGAAACACTGTCAAGAGGCCAGTCGGGCGGAAGCAGAGAGATGAAGAGGAGTCGAAATGAAGCTGGAGAGGCAAACATGCGGGGCTTTGCGGGTTGGGAAGGAGTTTGGATTTCATCCGAGGTGCGGCTGGGGGTGCGCCGGGGCCACCGACGGCTGTCCGGAGGGCCGAGCGGGATGACTAGGTCTGCGCAGGGGCTCGTCCCCAGGGCGGGATGCACAGCCGCGGGCGCCCTCGTGCCGGCCGCCGCGGCCCCGCCCAGCCCCGCTCACCGAGCTGCACCAGCGCGTAGAGGAGGCCGGCGATCGACACCAGGAAGTAAGCGAGAAACACGTTCTTCAGCTTCAGCTTCATGGCCGCGCCGCCGGCGGCGCCCGGGCAGGCGGGGTCCGGGGGGTCGCGGGATCTCCGCCCGCCCACCCGCAGGCCCCGCCCCTGCAGCGGCCCCGCCCCGCCTCCCTCCCGCTCCACGCGGCAGGCGGGCTCCGGGGTGCTGGGGTTGGCAACGCCGGCCAGGCCCACTTCCGGTCAGTCTGCTTCCCACCCCCCCGTAAGGTTAATTTCCGGTCCCACCGCCTAGTTCCGGGTACTGGGAGCTGAATGACGTCATCTCCGGTGTGTCAATTCGTGTGGCCGCTGGTCAGAAAGCCAGTGGTAGCACGTGGGACTTCTGTATTCCTAGCAGCGTGGCATCGCTGGCGAAATCCAATCCTGGTGCCCAGATTTATCCTTACAGTCATTCATTCATTTCAAGCATCAAGTAACAGTTGCCAGCAAAGCCTTGTTAAAGAAAATATATGCAATGTAGGTCCTACCATGTACCAGCCAGTACTCTGTGCGTCTCACGTAATTCTCCAAAATTTAGAGGTAAGAGATAAGACTGAGAAAATCATATAAATTACCTTAGGGCAACCTTCTCTTGTGTCCCTTCTAAGTATCTTATTCCAGGATCCATACTATACCCTCTGCACATATTCCCACCAGATGACAAGCCGGGTAGGGTATGCCAAGGGAGTGAGGGGTTTCCTCCCCAGGGAATTGATTAGAAATTCCTGAACTGGGCAAGTCCCCACTGGTAACCCCCTGCCTCCTCACAGTTACAAGCCATCCTAAGCAAAAAACAAAAACTTGCAAAATATTCTTTAAGATTGTTGCGCTACAAAATGGAACTATTTTGTCACTAAAACGATGGGAACATTTTTTAAAGAGCTGTTAGGTAAAGAAAAGCAGCCTTTAGTGCAAGAACATCTGCTTATAGGATTGTTTCTATCCAAGAGACACCATTAGCTCTGGTCACTAATTACTAATTAACACCTACCAGGAGTAGCCCTGAGGCACGATGGCTAAGTGCTGAGCTGCTAACTGGAAAGTTGGCCGTTTCCACCAGCTGCTCAGGAGGAAAAAACCTAGAGGCCTGCTCTCCCTAAGAGCCATGCAACCGACTGATTCACAGCACCCCATCTGACAGAACTGACCTGCCCCATAGGGGTTTCTAGGCTGCAATCCTTGCCGGAGTAGGTCCCTCCTTGGGTTCCTGAGGCAGTATCACTACGGATGTAGATTGCCCCATCTTCCTTCCAAGGAGTGGCTGGTGGGTTTGAACCGCCAGCCTTCTGGTTAAGTCAAGTGTCTTAGCCACTATGCTACCAGAGCTCCTCCCCCAGGTCCTAGGGCAGCCCACATGGCAGTTCTACCCTGTCCTACGGAGCTCTGGTAGCGTAGTGGCTAAGACACTTGACTGCTAACCAGAAGGCTTCTGGTTCAAACCCATCGGCAACTGCTCGGAAGGAAGATGGGGCAATCTACTTCCGTAGTGATACTGCTTCAGAAACCCAAGGAGGGGTTGCTATGAGTCGGGTCTGACTCCACGGCACGTAACAACAACCCTGTCCTAAACAGTCACTATGAGTTGGAATCAACTGGATGACACAACTGAAATCTGACGACTTTGCTGGACTCCTCTATGAGAATAGGAGCCCCCAGGAGGCTGCGGGAGGCGTGTGTGCGCTAAGTCAGTGAGGTTTATACTGAAGCGACGACCTTGGGCTTCTAGGATCTGTGTCAGGCCAGAACTAGAATCCAGACACCTGACAGTGTGAGTTTTATCTCTTTATTTTCTCCTTTTATCAAAACTTGTCGTAGCTGGGGTCCAAGAGGAAGTAAAAAAATCCCCACAAATATCCCCCTTCATCCCACCCACCCACCCTTACCCAGGGCTTTGGGCCAACCCTGGCCACACATGATCATCTCCCCCCACCCTCAGCCTTCTCCCAGCAATAAATACAGGTGACCATGATTCAAGGAAACCACAACTGATTTCTCCATCTTGAATGCCCCCCGAAGGGACAAGAAAGGGCGAAAGAAGTTTAATGCCCATCCTCTCTTAAGGAGGAACAGAAACTTCTTTCCGCCACAGGACAGGGGAGGTTAACTGTCCCTGTCGGAACTACAGCAGCTCTAGAAGGGACCAGGGAGGGGAAAGGGTCAGGATGAGAGGAAAGAGGACCTTCTCCAGCAGCCCCGGTCCTTTGCTCCATTCATCCCTCAGCAGGGAAGAGTGGTCCCAGTGTATCAGTGGGGCACAAAACGGGGAGGGCTGACAAGAAGAGTCAGGAGGAAGAAACCAAAGGACGGAGAGCAGCTGGGGGGGGGAGGACAGGGAAGGAAAAACTAGCCCTAAACTCACTGCCCTCATCTTCCAAGGAATGGTACCCACACACATGAGGCGTGAGTGAGTAGGCTCTGGGGAAGGACATTCAGAGCCCCCCACAGAAAGGAAAGAGGGGAAGCAAGGGCCCTGTGGTCCCCAGAGCTTCACAGATGACGTGCTCCGCTGAGAGCAACAGGATGCTGGAGGATGAAGGGAAAAGGCTTGGTGTCAACGGAGGAGGGCAGGTCAGGAGACCACAAGAGGAAGTGGGACCCCAGGGACAGCCCTCATCCTCCCCAGATGCTGGCAGAATCTGAGTCTTGTGACAAGAAGGTGAAGTCTGGGGAGGGTCAGACTCCAAGGCAGAAGGAAGAGTCACCACCACAGCACCCCTCCCCCTCCCGGAACAGCCCTTGCGTTATCGCAGGTGAATGCTCCAGTCAGCTGCCACGTTGACACCAGGCTTGCGCAAGGTCAGCACCGAGGTCTCAGGGTCATGTTGGAAGGACAAGTGGCTTTCAGGAGATCCTGGGGACAAGGAAGAATGAGGGCCTTGGTCAGAACAACAGTGTGGCCAGTCAGCTGCCCAGCAATCCGGCCCGTTCCCCACAGGCAAGGCCGCGCTCCCTGGCTTTGCTCACTCCCAGGCCAGCCCACTCACGCACCTTTTGTCTGGAGTACCACGGCCGCTGGCTTTCCGGCCCCTATTATCACCACCCGCTCAATCCAGATCGGTGTCTCAAAGTGGCCTTTTGGGTCTGCTGAGCTGGAAGGGCACAAACAGACGCCCATCACGGGGAAAGATGTCAGAGCAGAAGGAAGAGAGTGAAGGAAAGGCAGGAGGTGAAGGAAGAGCCCAGTGAACTGTGAGCCTTCCCGAGGCCTGGGCACCCCGTTACCTGGAGACGAGGGTGTTGCCAGAGAATGAGAACCGACGCAGCAAGAACTCGTGGCGAGTCTGATAGTTGAACGTGTGCCCGTCATCCACAAAGAGCTCTCCTTGGGCCGTCCCCTGGGTGGGAAGTGGAACAGGTAGGAGCCTGAGCCCAAGAGGGAGCCAGAGGAAGAGCCCTGGAGGATGGAGGCTTGGTAGGCAGACGGCCAAGGACACTCCCTGCCTGGGCACTCACCTGAGGACTGAGCGCAACGAAAAGAGTGATGGGGTCCTCCTTCATACAGGATGAAGAACGGCGCATTCGCATCCACCGAGGCACAATCGTCCCTCCACGTTGGAACACAGGGATCTAGGCCAAGAGCAATGCTGGCATGAAGTCACCCCCTTGTCCAGCCTTGGGCCCCTCAGGGTCTTTTGCTCTCACCCATCTGTGTCCACTCAGGTACTGAACCCCAAAATGCACACTCTGCCCCCTCTGGAAATCTACACAGATTGAACTGGCAAATGGAGCGGGCATACTCACACTGCTTAGAGTTACAGGCAGGTACAGAGTCTGGGGACCATGATGCTTCTGGTAAGTGTAAGTGTCATACCACACCTGTGGGTGGCAGAAGAGAGACAGGTGACACTGGGTCTGGTTTGCCCCCCTTGGCTTCTGCTGTCTTTCCCCACCCAACCCACCTGCACTTACCTCCCCTTGGCCAGGCAGATAGATTTGCACACCGTGGGCCCCAGCGTCAGACACGGGGTGAACCAGCAGCGCATCGCCTGAAACACCCCAGGACGGAATCAACTCTGACCGGAGGGGTCAGTTCCCAGCCGTGGTGTTCCCGTCAGCCTCCCATCCTCTTCCCTCCCTGGGTATCCCCAAGTTATTCTCCACAAGTGCTTGCTTCTGCTCAGCCCTACCCCAAACTAGCACCACTGCCCTCCCCATTTCTCACCAAGCAGGAACTGATCATCTATACTGAAGGTGGCTACATCCTGAGGGTACTGCACCCACAGTGGTCTATGAAGGGAACAAGACAAGAAAGGAAAAGACTTGCTGTTTTGGCAGAAGTCAAAGATCCTCCTCCAAGAACTGGTGATGACACAGACACGGCACAGGGTAAGACCCAGAAACGCGCAGCCAGAAGCCCAGGCAGGTTTCAGAGCGCAACTGTGCGGCACTACCTTGGCCTACACAGTTAACTTCCTAAGCCCCTTCCTGTGTCTTCTGTCCCGTCTTCCAGCTCCTCTGCACAGCAGCCTTCCAGGGGCCTCTCCCCACACTGCATAACCCCACCTGCTCCACAGAGCCCTCTCAGACCATGAATGGAGAGGGTCATTCACTTTTCTCTCCGGCTTCCGGTCCTACCCTCCCCTCGTTCCTCACCCAAGACACGCTGGCTGCTTTCCTATTCCTGGAGCACAAACTCATGTCCCCTCCAGACTCTGCACTCGCTATCTCCTCCGCTTACAACATTCTACTAGATACATCTATCTCACTCTCAACATTCAAGTCCCAGCTCATATGGGCGTCTTCTAAAAGACCTTGTGCGACTGACTATCTGATCCCATCACACAGTTTAATTTTCTTCAAAGAGCACGTCATTGCTCATGACTTTTGTATGTGTTTATGTGCATGTCTGTCTTCCTCTCTAGAAGGAAAGGCATCCACCCCCAAGGGTGGATACTTGTCTGTCTTCTTTTAGACTAGGGACACAGTGATGAGTAACGCCTGGCAGAGGGTAAGCACTCCATAAATGTTTATTGCTTTAATTCCTCCTCTTTAGTCCCCCCTTCACTCTTGACCTTGAAATCAGATTTACAAGGCCCTGGTGAGTGAAGAAAGCAGCCCAGAGATGATGCTTAGTCCCCACTGTCCCGAGCCAGTGCTGCCCACCCCACAGACTCACAGACCACCTCACCTCATGACAGGAACCCCTTCACGATGGGCCTGGTAGAAGAGAGTGTACCAGAATGGCAGCAAGGAATAGCGCTGGCCCAAGGCATCTCGGATGATGTCTTGGTACTGAGACGCTAACAGCCACGGCTCTCGCCGCCCAGTGTCCAGGTGAGCATGTGCCCGGAAGAAGGGCTGGTAGGCACCCATCTGGTACCAGCGCACGAGCAGCTCTGGCTCTGGGTTTTTGAAGAAGCCGCCCACATCCGCTGAGAGAGAGGAAGGAAGCAGCAGGTTGGAAAAGATGGTGACGTGGACGCTCAGCTCTCTGCTCGCACGGAGGCCCTGAGCTTGCAGCCTTGGCCCTCCTCCCACCAAAGCAACACAGCCAATGTCCTCCCTTTCTCACCCCCACAGAAGGAAAGTCCCACCAGCCCCAAACTGAGACACATAGGGATAGAGATCTTCAAATGGTCCCATTCGGCAGCATTGTCCCCAGTCCACACAGCTCCTAAGGAAGACAAAAGAGGGGTCTGCAAATAGTGGAAGGGCCCAGCCTTTCACAGAGCACACCTTGCTGACCTGCTACATCTGCTTGGGGTCCCCAGGCTCCCACTGATACCCAAGAACGTGTGAATGGGGTGGGACCTCCCACTGCCTGGCTCTTCCTGCAGTGCACAGTGGGGAGGATGCAGGGTGCCACTCTCAGCAGACCGCAGTCGGGGGGGACTTCTCAGAGCCAGGCCAAGGCCCACCGCTCCTGCGATCTGGCTCTCAGACCCCTGTGCCACAGCTCTAGTTGCCAACTCTTACCAAAGCGCTGGGAGCCAGCAAAGAAAGCTCTGCTCAGGACAAATGGGCGTTCTACGCCCCCAGAACGCAGCACCAGCCCGTCAGCAGTCGCCATGTGCTGGGTGGGAGAGGGGAGAGGAGGCACAGTGAGAACCAAGGCCAGCTGTCACCTGCAGCAAGTTCCCTGGCCCTCAGGCTCTGGGCCAGGCTTCCCTCTTTCCACCAGCCCTCCTCTCCCAGTCACTCACCACATAGAAGCCATAGATGTTATGCACGTCCCGGTGTTCCCAGCCTCCATAATGCTGGGCATCCTTGAGCATGGTGACCTCAGGGCCACTGAATACCGATGGCTCATTCATGTCATTCCAGACATAGAGATTGGGAGCCGAGCCCTGGGAACACAAGGCAGAAAAAGGGGATAGAAGGACATGGGAGGAAGAACACGAACGGTGTCAGAGCAGAGAGCTCCCTGGGATCTACAAAGATGCATTTCTCAATGCTATCCCAGGTCACCAAGGCCCTGGGACACTGAGGCACTCAACCAAAGCAGGGTCACCACTCAGAGTGGCAGACTCAGGGAGGCAGGTGAGAAAAACAGATGCAGGCAGGGTAGAGGATGGGTCCCTACCTCGTAATTATCAAAGCTGAACATATTAGCCCACCAGGCCCTCATTGTGGGATTAGTGAAGTCAGGGTAGCCAGCTGAGCCTAGGAGAGAAGAAGTGTGGCTGTCAACTCCTGAGAGGCAGAAGTCACTATTCTACCTCCTTGGTCCCCGAAAAGCCTCTCCCTGGATTGTGGGGCTGCCTACCTGGCCAGCACCAGCCCTCATAGTCAGAGCCGTCCCGGGTTTTAACATATAGCCCTTGGTTCCGCAGCTCTTCATGTACCCGGTAGCCAGAGTCCACTTTAATGTGGGGGTCCACGATGGTCACCAGCTGAGGGCAGGGCACATGGGTGGTCAGATAGCCCCAGGGCTCTCATGCCACAGCCTCACCCAGAGAAGACCAGCCTTCCGCTGGCCTCTTACCTTCCGCCTCTTGGAGGCCAACTGCTCGAGCATGGTGAGGGGCTGGGGAAAGCGGCTGGGGTCCCAGGTGAAATACCGCTTGCCATCAGCATGTTCAATGTCCAGCCAGATGACATCACAGGGCAGGTTGTGGTCATCGAAGCCTTGATCCACCTCCAGCACATCAGCCTCGTCCCGGTAGTTCCAGCGGCTCTGGTGGTAGCCGAGGGAGAAGAGCGGGGGCAATGCCTGGGTCCCTGCGGGTTCAGCGAGGGACGGGGTCACAATGGGGGTTGGGCCCAAGCTGGGGTCAATGGGGACACCCAGAAATGGCTTGTAAACGAGAGGGAGGCTGAGGGGCTAGAAAACAGGCCGGGCACAACCCTTCTGAAAATGCAGAGCCACCCCTTCTGAGGCCCCTGGCTGCCACAGAGTGGGGACACCACGTACCTGTGAGACTAGCGTACTGCCGGAAGACGTTGGTGACAGAGGGCCCGAGCAGAAGGAAGACATCGATGATGCCACTCTCTGACATCCAGCGAACGTCTGTCTGGGGAGTCTCCCCGGAGCCCTGCAGGTAGTCCAGCATCTTCCCAAACAGAGTCTGTACAGGAGACCAGAGAGGCCCGGGAGCTGCCCTCTTATCCCCAACCCAAGGACAAAAGCAGTGGTTTCCTCCTCAGAGACCACACACAGCTGGTTCCTGTGAGTCAGTCTGGTCTGAGTTCAAATGTCACCTCCTTGGCGAGGCTCCTGACCACACGCTCTAAAGCAGCACCACAGCCCTCACCCCCCATCATGAGACCGTCTCATTTCTTTCTGGGCAGTACTTGGTTGTTGCTGTGCGACGAGTCAATTCCAGCTCGACAGCTATGGGACAGAGCAGTGCTCCTCAGGGTGTTCCAGGACGCAGTCTTTATAGGGACAAACCACCACACCCTTCACTCCTGGAGCTGCTGGCCTTCTGGTTAGCAGCCAAGCACTTAATCCTTCCACTGCCAGGGCTTGGTTAGCACTGACCACCTCGAAAATCTCACCTCCGTTCCCTGTCCGCCCCTCCATCCCCAGCACCTAGAGAAGCACCTACTGAGGCTCAAAATAAAAAAGGTACTGAGTAAGCAACACGTCCCCAGGCCAGAAAGGGAAACGCAGTCCGAAGCCTGTGTCTTCTGGGAGTGAATGGGGAACTCAAATGCTGCTCACTTGCCCCAGGGCCCCCTCCCTCACCCAATCCCCAGAGAGGGTACCCCTAAAGCCTCTTCAAAGCCAATGTCCTGACATTCGTTTCAAAGCCTAAGGCTTTCACCCTCACTTTTCCCTACTGCGCCTTGTGCTCTCACCTTCCCGGCAGTGTTGGAGGATATGTCGACCCAGGTCTCAGCGGCATTGAGCCAGAAGATGCCCAGGTCCCGCTGAGAGTTGTGTGCCAGAAGCACAGGCACAGACCCATACAGGGCCATGGGGTTGTACAGCTCGTACTGGAACACGTCCAAGTTGTACAGGCGATAAGGCTCCCCACCCCTGCAGGCAGACAGGCAGATCAGGCTATTGACTGGCCCCCGACTGCAGCACACAAGACCCCACCCCAGAGGTGAGGGAAATCACTGGTCACTTTGATCACTGAAGCTCAACTGGCGTAACATACTACACAGGAACACTGTTGTACATCCTACTTTGGTGAGTAGCAACTGGGATCTTAAAACTTGCAAGTGGCCATCTAGATGCAACAATGGGTCTCTCCTCATCCAGAGCGAAGAAGAATGAAGAAAACCAAAGACACATGGAAACTATCAGTCCAAGGGACTAGCGGACCATGTGATGATCCTCAGCCTATATGACCATGAAACCAGAAGAAATAGACGGTGCCCGCCTACCCCTGTCAACCACTTGGAGGGGGATCAGTACAGGAGATCCTGGATAGAGTAGGAGAACAATGTGGAACAAAACTCAAAATCATAAAAAAAAAAGACCTGGTTTGCTGGTCTGATTAACCCTAGTGAAACCCCCAAGACTATGTCCCTAGCTATCTTTCAGGTCTGGAAATGAACTCCCTTCTGTAGCTTCCAGCCAAACAACAGACAGTCATATAGGGTGAACCTTTACATCAGATAGATACACTCCTTGGAGCAATCAATCATGGGAGAACAGAAGGGCAGTAATTGCACAGGGAGATAGCTCAGGGGGCAGGAATGCATAGGTAAAAAGGACACAGGGAAGAAGTAATTACGGGGAGGAAATAGGATAAAAGCTGTTATACTGTGGGGAATTGCAGTCAATGTCATGAAACAAAATGTGTATGAACTGTACTGTATGAAAAATGAATTTGTTCTGTAAACTTTCACCTAAATCACAGTTTAAAAAAAAAAAAAGTCCCTTTGCCCTTTCTCAAAGTAGACTGTTCTGATCAACAGAGGGGCTCTGGGCACAGGAAATGATCCACGTTTGCCTGGGACACCCAATCCGCATGCACATTCCCCCAAAGCCTCTGCCTTCTAACCCAGCCCTCCCCCCACATCCTGATGTCACTATGGGACTCACTCAGTGACCTTCAGCCTCAGATTGTCCGCATGCTCAGGGATCCCATACACATGCTCCATTCCTGGCAGGGAAAAGTCCAAACCCACAGACGTAGGCCCTGGAAGGAAAGCAGAGGACAAGCTCAAGAGCATCGCCTGGCAAGGCCTCCCTGCAGCCCTGCGCCAGGCGTGCCCTGCCCCTCACCATACGGCTTGCTGTCAGAGTGAGTTTTGAATGTCTCCTCCCAGGCTCCTGGCTCATCTTTCTCCGCCTTCTCCTGGGTCTCCTCTGGCTATAAAGAGGAAACAGGACCTCTACTCAGTCATACACCAGTTCCCTCCTGTGCCCCTTCCGTTCTCTAAGTCTCACCCCGATGATGAAACTAAACTCAAGTTTCTCATGGGCCATCCCCTCCAGCCTCCCAGCCAATCCTGTCCTCCAACCACCGACCCTCCAACTTGCCTTGTCACCATCCCCAGGTGTTTCCTCAGGCTGGGCCCCATCACCCTCAGCTGGGTCTTTTGATCCTTGCCTGGAAGGTAGGAGAGCTGTCTGCTCCAATCCAGAGGGGGCAGGGACGAGGGGCTAGTGGAAGGAGGGGTGGGGGAATAGAGAGCCAAGGGTCCAAAGGAACGAAGGCATTGGAGAAAGGGACTAAATGTTAAAATGAAGAGGGACAACCCCCCCATGAGCATGTGGGTGTGCAGAGGATGGGGAGAAATGAGAAAGGGAAATAAGGAGTAAATGCCACTGGGAGGTGCCTTCCACAGACAGGCCCAAGGCAGCACCCTCTGCCAGCATCCCACAAGAGACGGGCAGGATGGGTCAGGGGCCCGGGGATGCCAATCCTGGCTCAGATGCCTCCACTGAGACTCTGGCTCCAGCTGCCCCCGCAAGGCTTCAGCTTCCTGGCCCAGCACAAGGGTTTTTTTTACAAAGGTGAGCGGATCATACCAGAGTCTACAAATATGCAAGAGAGGTTCTGCCAAAATGCTCTTAAGGGCAGCTGGCAAGCAGCTCTAAGTTGCACCCCAGCCGAGAGCCAGGCAGCCTCTCCACCCCTTGGCAAAGCAAGAGGCTCCCTCAGTTCCTTGAGGACTTCCAACATTTTATCCTTCTTCTCCCGGGGAGGCTCCTAGCCCAGGGAACAGGGCCCAAAGGCCCATATAGCACAGAGCTGGGGAACTGAGTGCATAAAGGGCAAGGCAGGCAGGGATCCAGACAACTTCCCAAGGGCCAAAGTGGAGGGCGGGAAGGGCAGAGGAACAGATACAGTACCAGTGGCCATGGATTTACCTAGAGAAAAGGTTCTTGATCTTATCCCATATGCTACCGAGCGTGACACTAACTTTATCCGAGAAACTGGGGCAGGAGGAGATGGGTAGGGAAGGGGAAAAGGAGGCACAAAACCAACACAAAAACAGAAACATAAAAGTGAGTTTCAATCGACAAACTTCCAGAGATGGGGGAAAACAGAAATTAAAAAAAATAAAACAAAAAAGCAAGAAAATAAATCTGGGAAATGTGATGATGTAAGAAGGGAAGAGGGAGAGGCAGGCCTCCCAGAGGTGATGCCCAAAAGTACAGCTCCGGGACAAAAGTGACTGCCTCCCAGGCTGTACAGGAAATTGAGAAACTACCCCGGGTCTGGTTCCTACCCTCCCTGACAGGCAGCTTCTTCCAGCCCGCCCCCCATTACCTGGCTGTCCTGCCACCCTGCTTCCTCCCAGAAACCCAGTGCCAAACCCCACATCTCTAGACTCTCCCCACGAAGTTCCCAGAAGTCGCAACCCCTGTACTCACGAGACCCTGGGGGCCCTCTGATGCTCGAAGTCCAGGAGTCCTCGGGCATTGACGCTGAGCAGCAGACTGCGGCCCTCCAGCAGGTCAAGGCGGAATGGCCGTGCCGTCAAGATGATTTTATAGGGCCCCTCAGCCACTGTCAGCTCCACACTGTTGTCGTCATGGCCAGAGACAGAAAGCCTGGGAGAGAGGTCACAGCTCCCATTTGAGACCCTGTGCGTCTGCTCTTTAGAAATGACCTGAGTATGCTTGGCCCTTTACAAGTCCTACCTACACCAGATACAAATCTCAATTCAAGGCAGATCACGACTTACAACGTGAAAGAGCTTTAGGAGAAAATATAAACCAGTGGTTTTCTCAACTTTGTCAGAACAATTAGTTATACAGAACACAGAAAATACTAACTATAAAAAATTGATCCATTTGACAACGTTAAAATTCAGATTTCCTATTCATCATAATGTATCTTTACCATAATTAAACTCACTGCCACTGAGTTGATTCCAACTCACAGCAATCCCCCTTGGGTATCAAGGCTGTAAATCTTTACAGAAGCAGACTGTCTCATCTTTCCTCCGTGGAGCCAGTGGTGGGTTCAAACAATTGACTTTTTGATTAGCAGCCAAATGTATTAAGCACTATACTACCAGAGATCCTTAATCTTTACAGAAGCAGAATGCCTCTTCCTTCTTCCATCGAGTAGCTGGTGGGTTCGAACCATCAACAATAAGGTTAGCAACCAAATGCCTTGCCACTATGCCAGTAAAGCTCCTTGGTACCTTTAGGGTCATCACAAACAAGGAGAGTCTGAGAAAGAGAGGCTAGAGGACCCTCAGGAGACATGACAGCTAAGTGTAATGCGGTATCTGGAGAAGATGAATGAATGAATCAATCAATGAATCAATCAATGAATCAATGAATAAGGGTAATGGTATCCTGGATAAGATCGGGTAACAGAAGGAAAGACACCACGCAAAAAGAAAAGCTGAATAAAGCACGCACTTTACTTAATAACAATGAAGTAACTCACTAGGTGTGAAAAGTGTACCATGGTGACATTTCTAACAGGGGAGACTGGGTACAGGATGTTCAGGAACTCTCATAATATTCTCAAAACATTTCTATAAATTAATAAACAAAGTACAAAGCTTTTGTTTTTTCCTCCCTGTATTAATTCAAAAACAAAAAGAAAAGCTACAGCCCAGGAAAAAGTTTCTGCAATACGTTTAAATAATAAAAGTTGACAACAAAACAACAATATATTCTTACAAATCAGTATGTAAAGGACATCCTAAAAGAAAAATGGGCTTAAGCTGTGAACTACCTTTTATAGAACAGTAAACCTATAAAAAGATGTTCAATCTTATTATTAAAGCAAGAAAGGCAACCAAGCCAATACCTCCATGCGGTATCATTTATACTAATTCCATCAACAAAAATTAAGTCCAACAGTATCATGCGTTAGAGAGGATGTGGCTCAGAAAGACCTTATCAGCTGCTGCTGAAAGTGCGAACTTATGTGGCTGCTCTGATGTTATCTTGGGAAGTCACTTGTTTCCATACATATCACTACAGATCCTCTCCTAGCTATCACCAAACAGGAGAGCCCACACAGCAACAGCAGGAGCCACACACAAAAATGTTCATGGCAACACTTCAGACAGAGAAAGACGGGAACCAACTTGAATGCCTATCAACATGGAAATGGATAAATAAGGTGGGGTACACTCATATAACACAGCATTATATGGTGGTAAAAATGAATGATAGCCACATGTACAGAGATCAAGGTGTATCAGTGGTTATCAGGGGTGGGCAGATGGGAGGGGGAAAGGATTCAATGCTTAGAGGACAGTGAGCTTCTGTTACCATAAAAACCCCAGTCAAGAATTCTATAAAACATTCAGAGAAGAAGTGATACCGATCCT